TGAATCATAGAAATCTACGAAAAATACGGGTTTTAAGGCATGTTATATTAATACAAAAACCCCTCAAACCAATGAAAAAGAATTCCGTTGTGGTACGTAAATACTTTTTGTAATTTTTTTTTCAAAAAGGTCCTGTATGTCACTTTTTTGCTGCATCCATCATTTCACAGCTATTTAAACAAACTTTATTCATCAATATTACCTTTTTATTCTATGTGAAAATTTAATTGCCGTTTTTGGAGAACATTACTTCAGTTGCGAAAATATTTCAGTAACCTTCACTACATTCAATTTTATTACAGACTTTATTTACGAATTCTTTGTATCTTAGATTTTTGGATAAAATTAAGATTTTCAATGTTCTCAGTGTTTCCACGGATAACTTCAACTGGTCAAGATATCATATGTTTCAAGATTCATATGTTTCAAGATTCATCAGATGGAATTTACATTTTGGAAGTTCCTGTATTTTCTTGTATAACGTCACTTGGGCTAATTTTTCCTGTGTTTCACGGGTAAGTAGATTATTCTCTAAAACATTAAACAAAAAGTTGTACTGCATTTGCTGTTAATGATCTGGATTTAAAATTAGATATAATGGAAATGGATATTGTGTTAGACCTGAAAAATAAATCGTTTGGCCAGAGGAATGTAGCGAAGCGAGAAATTATCAAAGTTGGGCGCCAACTCCTTTATTGGTGAATAAGGTTAGAACTCGTTCGTTCAATCCAAATGGTTTAATGACATTGACTGGTTATGTGCTTTAAATCTGAGGAAAAAACTCTATTGTTGGCCTTGTTTGCTTTCACGCCTAAATCAGGACAATCATGGACTGATACTGGCTATACTGATTATAGGCATATTTTGGCTGACTGCAAAATTCATTCGAAATCAATGACTCATTTGAACAATTATAATTTAAAAACATTTGGCATGTATGACATAGTCACTGCTATTAGTGAATCGCCAAACTTGAAAGAAAAAAGGCACAATAAATTGGTCGAAGAAAATAGACAATATCTGAAACATCTGATAAACGCAATATTATATCTTTGCAAACAAGAACTACCATTCTTGCGCCGGACACGATGAAGGGAAGATAGTCTTAACAAAAGGTAATTATCGAGAATTATTGCAGTGTTTCTCTAAAATTGACAGTGTCTTTGCATCAAAACTTTCCGCCAAAGAAGGCTCTAGGCAATTTTCAGGTATTTCACAACAATACAGAATGAAATTATATCTGCAATTGATAACGTGATTGCTGATGTTATTTACGCTGAAATTCAAAGTGCCCCATTTATTTCAGTGCAGGCTGATGAAACAACTGACTGTGCAATGCATGCACAGCTTTTCGATCATTGTTAGGTATGTGAATGGATGCAAAATTATTGAACGATTCCTTGGATTTCATGACGTGAGCGATGACAAAAGTGCCACAAGATTAGCTGACGTAATCGAGAATTCTTTAAATTCCTTCCGATGATGCAAAATCAAAAAAACTTATGATGGAGCAGCCGTGATGGCAGGTGAACGGAACGGAGTGCAAATTAAATTGAGAGAGAGGGATTTAAATACGCCGATTTCATCCATTATTATGCCCATAAACTTAATTTAGTTTTGAGTAAAAGTTTTTTTAAAATATTTTTTCACATTTACACAGCTTCAGTAAATTCTCATCATCTAGTACGAAAAGGAAGAGTGTGTTCCGAAAATTTGAAATCTGCATCCCATCTTTGTGTGCTACCAGATGGTTTTATAAATCAAGAACTGTATCCGCTAAAAAAACACGATCGTCAAAAAATAATGAACACTTTCGAAGATATTCTTGATCATGGCGAAATATGGGATGAAACAACACTAAGTGAAACCGACAATCTATTGTCAAAATTGAATGATTTCACTTTCATTTTTTTATTAACTTTTTATGTCATTCTTTCTCAAGCAGAAAAACTATTTGACATTTTACAGTGCAGAAAACTGGCGTGAAATATTTAAAAGATAAAATACATGATTTCATTCAATCAATATCAAACAATTGTGACAATGAACATTATGAAAATATTATCCAACAAACGATGACAGACATGGAGATATCTGACGAATCACACGCTCCACCCACAAAAGAACTAGGGGAAATCGAATCAACTACAAAAAGTGTATATTTTGAAATAATTCAAAACATCATTTAATTCACTAAAGGAACGATTAAAAACATAGGAGACTTTTCATATTTTGAATTGCTTTCGATGTGAAGAAGTTTGAAGTTTTTTCCTGTACATTCCCTAAGCAACATATAGATGCATTGCAGAAAAAATACCCTTGTATTTTTGACCTAAAATCCTTGAAAAGTGAGCTCAGGTATTTTGTATTCTGACAATGATTTCAAAAAATGTACCTCAAGTAAAGCTATTTTGGAGATGCTCCATGAACTCGGTTTTTGTCTGCAATGTCTGAAACTGTGAGACTGATACAACTTTTTCTTACCATTCCCTTTCTTCAG